TTTTTTTGTTTTTCCGGTACCAGGTAAATTCACTGATTTGTTCTTTCGCCATTGGTTGCTCGTATCCCTGTTATCATTTTCTAACTGCGCAATTTCTCCAGCATATTGCGATTAATTTGATTTTAATTAACTTACGGCGTAATTTATATTTTATAACTGCGTAGTAGCTTTTATACGTCTTAATACTAATTTACAAGAAATTTTTATATGATATTTTGCATGACAAATTTTTTATAAGAAACTTCTAGCCTATGTGTTTCTGATGTTATAATATTTGAACTTTCTTTTGTACTAGATTATTTAACATTAATTTACTCATAAAATCTCTAAATTGGCCCTTCTTGTGGCATTGTCTTTTACTTTAATGCTTCTACTTCGTACCCAAAACTTATTTTCTTAATATGCTTATCATTAAAACGTATTTCTATGCTATTTCTCAGTGTTGTGTCTTGAGATACAGTGTGTTCATTTCAGTATATACTACTAGTTTAAACTAACGATTAAAGAAATCTTGTCTAATTATACTCACGTAAAAAGTTTTAAGAAACTAATTTATGATCTCAAATATAAAAAATTGGGAGTTTGATGCCTATACCTTTGGAACTTGACTACTTGAAATACAGAAAAAACTGAATCAGTTTTGAAAGAAAATCAAACTTTTATTGTTTTTAATAAAACAACTCACTGTGCTTTTTTAATTGACTATAACGATACGAATATCGTACATTTGCTTTGAAAGTTCGTATGATATTTTGGTTATTTTTCTGGTCCAGCATAAAGTCAAATCTGCCATGAAACCAATGCGTACTTATGCAATATTAAATTCACTGAGACGGCAATAAAATTTTGTAAAACTTTGATCTTTACTATTTTTTTTACCGGAAAGGGGTAGAATATTATTGTGACAACCTCTGTACAAATTATAAAATTGACTGAGGAATGTAGGCGAAAGTAACAACTTAATTTTTTATCTGTCTTAAGGCAAGTCAAGGAAATGCATCCCAAATATGCGAACAGTACGGGATGGAATTAGTCAGCATAGAAGACAAGAAGAAAAACGATATCGTCACCAACTTGATTAAACAGTCTGGAAAATCTGGTAAGCAATTTATAACAGTCCCGTTGATACTCTCACATACCAAAACTTAAAAAATATACAGGATGTTTATTAAATGTACGGCAAAAATTAAGGGGGTTATTCCCTGGACTATTCTAAGAATATTTTGTTCTTTAATAATTTTTGAAAAGTTGCTTTGTTCCGAAGATACGGGGCGAGATATATTTTCGGCAAAACCAATTTTAATATTTTTCAAATTATTAATATAGTCGAAATAAAAATATGGCGTACTATATTGGGATAAGCGAGTATAATTTTTTTTGAAAGAAAAAAAGGAAGAAAATGCAGGTATTGGAAAGAAACCAGTTTGAACAAGCCTTTCCTATGAACGGAGTGATTTCATTGGATATACTTTTTTGTACAGGAATATTTACGTTTTCTATTGCCTTATCTTTGTTGATTTGCCGTTTAAAAAAAAACTAACAAATACTAAAGTATACTAAAGTAGATAATTGCATATGCGATTTATGACGTGGACTGATTTTAGAATATAAAATTATTATTAATCATTTCTACTGTTAAGGTGCTGAAGACAATTATTGGACGTCCGCAAATAAACAATCTGATGGCAAGTGGGTGTGGTGGGACAATCAACTAGTAACTTACACCAACTGGGCCAAAGGCGAACCAAATAATGCAGACAAGCGTGAATTTTGCCTGGAGCTGTATCCTGATGGCCAATGGAATGACTTAGCTTGTGAGCGTGAGTTCTACTTCATCTGCGAAAGTCCCTTTAAGGAAAACTCTCATCACTGTGCATCACAGCCTGTCATTAACGTATACGTCAACAACAATCAGTGTTCCAATGCCAAGAACGCAACTGTCACTGAGGTAAAGAAAGTAGCTACTTCCAAAGATGGGGAGGGGTACAACGTTGAGATCAACAATAACATTGAAACTTGTCCCAAGGCAGTACCTCATAAATAAATTAAACTTAAACACATAAGCGTTTTTTTCAAATTGTCTTGCTTCTTTGATTTGTGCCGTTCGACTAAAACAAAGAATTATTCTTAAGTATCGTCTTACTCTAATCATTTCTATCTTTATATATTTCATAAGTAATCGATTTTCTTAATAAGAAAATTATTTTGAGTTTGAAAATAAACTATATGACATATTTTTTTCAACATAAATCTACTGTTTTCTATATAGTTCTTTCAGTTGAAGAACTTAGAAGCAAAACACAATGAATGACAGTTATTTATCTGATGTGAACTTACCATGGATGTAAATTAACATATTTACCTAAGGCAATAGTTTATGTTTTAATAAAACAAGAAATTTTTGGATTCTTTATTTTTTCTTGCTTTAAAAAATATCATTTCAAAGAGACACCAATGTGGCTAAAGTAATTTTATAACTATTTTACTAACAAATGTTTTCGGTGGATTGAATTATTCTACAAGTGAAAATTATGAGTTCTTAAACTATAAAATAAAAATCATTCTTCATAATTTTCGAAGAAGTATTACTTGTAGCAGTTTATTGGTTAGCTTTCAAATAGGTTGAATATAAAAATTGTGTACAAATTTACATTTCGTGAAACATATAAATATTTCGAATATTTTGTTTCGGATATCGTTCTAAATATTTATTTGTATCATTTTTTATTACATTTTATTTCAAGAGGTACTTGCTTAAACACAAACACACATTTCACAGTGAGAAAATAAATAGTACAATTAAAACTGGGCTAGACCGTGGTCCAGACCAGTGTATCTCCTAACATTTTAACGCACTGAATCTACAATCAGATTTCCTGGATCAGTTCGCGTTTTGATCCTATAATATCCCGGTTGTTACACTTTGAAAATTTACATATTTTAAATATACCGCTTTGCTGCTTGATATGTTTCGGCTTTATTTTGTGTAACCATTTACTTTACCTTTAGTATCGTTAGGCACATAACGTCTTGTATAATTCGTGTCACAATGGTGAAAGGAGATCACTCAATTTGGCATACAGCTAGTTAAACTCAGTCGGTAGAGCATGAGAGTCTTAATCTCAGGGTCGTGGGTTCGAGCCCCACGTTGAGCGCCACTTTTTGCTAAAAAAAAAGATGATACAAAACAGTGAGTAAAAAAAATAATAAAAAAATATAAAAGGCAATTAACTATAAACAAAAAAATTTAAATAAACTAAATAAATGTAAATCTAGCAAAAAAAGTGTAGGTGGGTTTTTGTATTTCGGGTAGATCGGTGGAACGAGGGTAGCGAATATACTCCACTGAAGCTAGCGGCCAACCCCTTTTGTAGAATATATTCGCTACCCTCGTTCCACCGATACACCCGATATAGAAAAACCTATCCACACTTTTTTTGCTATATTTACATTTATTTAGCTTATTTTTTTTGCTTAAAGTTAATTGCCTTTTATACTTTTTTATTATTTTTTCTTACCCACTGTAATGTATTATTATCCTTTTTTTAGCACGGTGAAGATAGACATTTAATGTTATAATAACTCGCATAAAGCTGAAGCTGGTACGAATGTTGAGAACACCATATCAATGAAATGTGAAGTCACCATCGATTCCACATCTGCAAAAAAATTTATTCAAGATCAAAGTTCGCAAATATGGGTTTTTTGCATTTTTCAGCCAAACAGTAAACTTAATCATAAAAATAGGTCTGACAAAAATTGTAGATCATGCAATTATGTATGAAAATTGTACTTACACTTTTTTCCTAAGGATCACCATTTCTAAGATATAGATAATATTCAGAAGGGGTAAAACAACAGTTTTTAAATTGTTTGAACAGGATTTAGTTAATTGTGCTAAGCTTTTAAAGAGAGTAACTGTACTTCACAAGCTGTACGGAATTCGCTTCCTTCTTTCTGTATATGGAACTTCAAAAAAAATTACCTGCTTAGATAAGTTTCGATACTCATCTTTTTTAAAAAATACTCGTAACAATAAACGAGTGCAATTAGCTTGTCTTCCCTCAACCTCTGCTTCTGCTCATCAACATCTATTTCGAGTATATTATCAAGTTCAAGTGTGACTTGGTAATCAACTGGACCCAAAAGACTGGGGTTGGGAGTTAATTGACAATACATTGGAACCAAAACAGACTTTACTCCCACCTGCACCGGAAAAACTCCTCAATACAATTTTTTGCAATTGCATAAAGGGGTGTAGTGTGGCTGCAAAAAGGTTGAATAGTTTTATTCATTAGCATGTACTAGTTATCAAGGCCAGTCGTGCTCCAATGTTGAATCGCCATCAGAAGAGGATTCTTACAATATCAGCGAGGAGACATCTGATGCATTGCTGTTAGAACAATTTACTTGTATCCAATAGGAAGAAGAAGGAGAAGAGGAAGGTACAGAAAAAGAAGAAGACATTACACCTGAAGTTCCATTAGATAATTATCAATCAGAAGAATAGTTTTCCCCAATTACTCATAATTCACACCGCTTTCATCATTTCCAATAGTACCATTTTTTATTTAATACAATATTATTTATAGGTCTACTGGGGAAACCACGTTCAAAAAAAACACGCCAAGTACACTACCTCGCAGATGGCGTGGAAACGTGTGCATATTATGGAGAACGCAACTTTTTCAACTTTTTAAATCGCTATAACTCAGAAATGGTGATTCTTAGGAAAAAACAAAATCAAATTTTAAAGACAATTGCATGAACTACAATTTTTGTCAGATCTATTTTTATGACAAAACTTACCTTTTGGCTGAAAAATGCAAAAAAAACATATTTGCAAAATTTGACCTTGAATATATTTTTTTTGCAGATGTGGGATCGATGAATACTTTTGACATTTTATTTATAATGGTGTTCCTAACATTCGTACCAATTTTCAGTTTTATGGGAATTATTGTAAGCTTACCCCTATTTTTTGAGCTACTTTGACCGGGTTAATAACCTCAAGGATCTCCTCAGAAAGCGGTTTTTGATTGGGAAAATACTGGAATTCTTCTCTTCATTGTCCCGTAACCCCATATCACAATAACCCTATAACGATTTTCATTGCAAAAACTCACGATCACTGACTGTACATTAAAGAAAATACTATTACATTTTATCCGTGTAGGAGAAATAACCACGTAACATAGTAATAAAAATCTACAATGTTCCAGATCATATCTCTGCAGGAGTTTGCCTACCTCAGGTTGAGAAATTACGAAGTTACAATAGCACTACAGGCTCAATTCCTTCGTGTTTATACATTTAGGTTACAGGGTTATTGGGTTATGGGATTGTGGGTACACATGTCCGCAAGTGACCCATTTTAAGTATTACGTCAAGAGCGCCAGCCTGACGCCGCGCGGACCGGTCTACCCGTTGCAAGATCAAAAAACAGACTCGGGACGCAACAGGGTTCCAGGAAAAGGTTCACGGCAGATTGGCGCCAAGGACCAGATACTTATACCTGCGAGCGACTCCACACCACGAAGATTCTCCAGCGATCGCTCGCCCCGACAACACTTTTATTTACCGTTGGGAGAGAGTTTTATTTTGCTGCATACCGAAAGAAACCCTCGGGATTATGGATACCTGTCAACTAACAGGCACGTTCCTCAAAGTTTCGTGATTATATCTCGCACACCCCGAATTACTGAGGTACAGGGTTATAGGGTTATGGAAGAAGGGAAGCCTGCCACCCCACAGTCACATAGCGTCGCACCACAGATGTATGATAGCCACGTTTCCATGGTTTTACACTCTCGCGCTTCCTGGATTATGGGGTTACGGGGTCACGAGGTCATGTGGTTGTGAATCTACGGGGTTCTAAGATTATAGTGCAGTGACATTATGAATTTGAACGCTTTTTCAATCGCTGCTTCGAGTCAGTTTGGTAATGATGCGAAAACCTCACTGACTGCGTTTTTTTCTAATCAAAACGAATTAAAGTCAAATGTGACAGTTATTTTACCTATCTACCTAAAATATATATAAGACATAGCATAATATTTATTCTTCAACTTCTTCTAGTTTTAAAATTCTCCATTTCTACTAGCTCTCCTCATTTCGTTCGTTTGTTTCTGCTTTCAATATTCTCAATTATTATTTTAATATTCACAGATATGGCACTACTCGTGGTGTTTAATGGACTAAGGTAAAAACAACTTGCACCACTTTCCTAGACATTTTGACATTTAAATAGGGTACTGAAAAAATAGGAAGGATCGGGGGAAGCAAGTGAATCAGGCAATCATTCTTTAGTATCAGAAGTAGATACACGATATTCAGGGTCATTAATGGACTCTGGGTGTGACTCTCCCTTAGAAGATGGCCCATTAGAGTAAGACCTTTCTCCTTCCAATAATTTTGTAGATTATTCTATATATGTGGGAGTAAAAAGTCGATTTGTAACAACTATTTGTTGTGTTTCTCTCGCAACCTCTTAACCTTGCAGCTGAGTGTACAACAAATCCAACAATAGTGTTCATATCGAACTAGTATTATTAATAACTATTATGAGGCGACTCTAAACCTACTAGAAATCCTTTATTTTTCAGTATTTGTTTTGTGGAATATTACCATACGAATTTGCTCAAATCGTTAGTTTGGAGGAAGGCTAATATCTCAAAAAATGTCATTTATCAGTTCTATCGACAGAATAATTCGAAAATGCGTAGATAATTAATTAAGTAAAAGACTCTCAACTCTTACTGTCTTTCAAGGCGTCAGAACGCTCTGCTTGGAACTGTGACATTTCATATCCCCTTCCGCGAGTTATAAGAAAGACGGTTATATCTCAAAATTGTTAACGCTACGTATTTATCCATACATCTACACACACAATCTCAGATTTTCCAATAAATACTATAAATCTACGGATGTTTCATGGTTTTAATAAATTTGTCTGTCCTTAATTCAAATTGGTGATTATGAATATCGTAGGTCCTAAACCTCAGTACGATGTAAATGTGGACAACGCGCATGAACGCTTGAAAAATCGGTCCCAGTCCAATAGAACTACATAATTCAGAATGATGAGTCTTTGGCTAATCCAATTGAAGGAAGACAATGAAACTTTTTAATCTATTTCGGGTTTCATGCTTTTTCTGCATATTTTTAAGAAGACTACTATTGAAATAAAATTCCAAAGAGCATATTTGTTTTTCGTTTCATGTTTCGTTTACAGCATGAATGTGGTGCATGTTTTTTGTGTTTCTGGAATAGTCAGAAATAAAATCTGTGGTAAATGGAATACCTGGAAAATAAGGTCCGCTAATTTTTGAGTTAGGAGAGCCTCAGACAGTGGGTTATAGA